CTTGGTGAGTTCGTTCAATGGTCGAGAGATGTTGGCAAAGTGTGGAATAAACCGTCGGTAGAAGTTGCAGAATCCTAAGAATGACCGGACGTCCTTCAATTTCCTAGGGACAGGCCAGCTTGCTATTCCTTTCAATTTGACTGGATCCATGCCCAAGTGGTTTTCCTTGACGATCAGTCCAAGGTATTCCACTTCTGGTTGACAAAATAGGCATTTTTCCAATTTGAGGAATAGGTCGTTTTCCCTTAATCGTGCCAAGACTCGTTTTGTTCTTTCCGTATCTTCTTCAGCTGTCTTGGAGAAGATAAGGAAGTCATCCATGTAGATGATGAGCCATCCTTCATCAATCATGTCTTTGAATAGTTCGTTCATCATTGACTGGAAGGTTGCCGGTGAATTGCATAGGCCAAAGAACATGACGGTCGGTTCAAACAATCCTCGATTGGTTTTGAACGCTGCCTTCCATTCGTCGCCTTCTTTGATACGGACATTATTGTAGCCTTTGCGGACATCCAATTTGGTGAAAACCTTTGCCCCTTGTAGCTTGTCCAAGATTTCGCTGATCAGGGGAATTGGATAGGCATTCTTGACTGTCCATTCGTTGAGATACCGGTAATCTTGGCAAGGCCGTACGTCTCCATCCTTCTTGCCTACGAAGAAGAATGGTGACGCCATAGGGGATTTAGATGGTCGGATGTAGCCTTTTGACAAGTTTTCTTTTAAGAATTCGTCCAGTTTCTGTTGCTCTAATGGTGACATGGGATAGAGCTTCTGATTCTTTGGAACGAATCCTTCTTTGAGATCTATTGCATGATCATAAGGCCGTCGTTCAGGGAATCGTTCTGAACTTTTCTTGTCAAAGACGTCCGCGAATTCCTTGTACCGTTCAGGTAATTCTGCTTTGCTTTTGGCTTCCTTCTCAGCTTCTTGAGCCATCCGCATTGCAGGGTTAACCTTCTTGCCAGTGTCCGTTTGTCCAGTGATAAACCGTATGAGGAGGTCGTCTTCCTCTGCCTTAGTTCGTGCTATTAAGGCGTAGACGTCATCCAGTTTGATCTTCCATTTTGGTGTACTTTGGAAGATGGGGTCATCGACGTGTGCCAGCAGTGGTCCTTTGCAGTATTGGCGCTTGATGGAGAATTCCTCATCAGGGATTTCTTTAATGGTTACGTTTAGGATGGATTTTCTCTTTCCAAAGTCAATTCGTCCAGTAACCCAGTTGATCTCTGGGTTGTTCTTCTGTAACCAGGGTAGTCCCAAAATGACGTCTTCTTTTCCCAGGTCGGTGACCAAAAATCGGATAGAGCGGACTCGATCTCCAATTTTCATCTGTAGGAATGCGGCCTTGGTGATGAGACCTTGCCTGTTCTTGGTGCCGTCAACATTGAAGACCTTGATTGGTCTAGGTATAGGGACCGTCTTCAGCTTGTTTGTCAGCACAAACTTCTGGTCAATAAAGATTCCTCCAGCCCCCGAATCGATGAGAGCTTCTGCAGTTGTTTCAGCGCTTCCCTTTCCACGTGATAGCAAAATTTCAATCTTCATTGACTGGTCAACAGTCTTTGCTATTGTTACAGTAGAAAGGTAGGAATGAGACGAGCCTGACGCTGATACAGGTCGTCTTAGGCAAAATCCTTCTCCGCCATGTCTTCGAGAAGCTTGACCTTATCGTTCTCTTCAAGTTCTGCCATCATGGCTTTGATCTTGGCGATATTAGACACTTCTTTGGTTGAGTCTTCTTTGACTTCCGCGGTACGGACAGGCCTTCTCTCTGGCTGTCTCCCTTTGTCCTGCTTGTGATCGGCAGCTCTATGTCCAGTCTGACCGCAAGTGAAGCATCGTCCTTCCTTCATGTACTTTTCCCTTTCGCTGGTCGATAGGCGATCGACGTCCATAGCATTGGGGTCCTTCGTGGGAGGAGTGTACCTTGGAGTGACAAGGTTTCTGGTCTGTCCAACTCCCTTGTATCGGTTGATGACCGCTCTTGCTCGTCGATACTGGTTGTCGAATCGGGATGTGGCTTCATACCATTCGTCGATCGTTTTAGGCATGTGCTCCATGCCGTAGACCTTCTCGACTAGCTTGTTCTGGAGTCCCTCTTGGAAGTACTCGATCAGGGATACGTCTTCAGTGATTCCGCATCGTGCGGTCAACATGCGGAATTCCG